CTTGAGATGTTCTTGAAATTCTGATGGGATAGATTCATGGATTTGTTTGAATTTTCTTTTGTTTTACCTTGAATTTACTTGTAAGCACCCGATGGTCTGTTCCACTGTCTTCCCCTGGCTGGGTTTTACCTGCTTATATTGAGCTTCTCCAGCATCTCTTCCCATGGATGTAGTCAACTTGATTTTGTATATTCCATCTGGAGAAGTCCATGTGTACAGTTGCCTTTTGTGTTAAGAAATAAAGGTATTTGCTATGAATAAGTTGTTGGTTTGACAAAATTCTATCATGCAATTTCCAGGTTCATTTCTAGCACCAAGTCTGTATACTCCAAGTACTGGTTTTTCCTCTTTGTTTCCAACTTTTGCATTCCAATGGCCAATTATCAATTCATCTTGATTGCATGTTTGATCAATTTCCAATGACATAATTGGTAGAATTCTTCATCACTAGCTTTTATGGTTGGTGCCTACATTTGAATAAGAGTTATATTGACTGAATTCCCTTAAAGGCAGATAGATACAATCTTATCACAGACAACATTGCACTTCATGATGGATTTGTGCAACGTCCTTTTCAACAATGGATGCCATGCCATTCCTCTTGTCTTATTCCCAGCATAGTGAACCATATGATTTTTTATTCAAAATGGCCAATATCAGCCATCTCAGCTCATGAATGCCTAGAATATCAATTTAATGTGTTCCATTTCTTTTTGTGTGACTTTCATTTTTCCTTGATTCATATTTCACAAATTCCAAATTCCAATTATTAGCAGATTTTTGTAGCTGTTTCTCCTTACCTTGAGTCATTCCCCATCAGCAAATGAAGATCACGAAGCCTCCACTCTGAGAAATAAGCTGCTCTTCAGTCACATTTTGAGCGCCCTTGGACCTGAGCGCCCCATCTCCAACACTATCTCTGACAATATTTACTTCCGCTCATTGGGCCTTCCATATCTGACAATGTTTCAAAGTTATGCATAAGCTTTTCAGAAACTTTGTCCCTTGAAGTGGGAGTCAAATCTTTCTACATTGTCTGATTTTAGTCTGCAAGCTCTGGTGAAACCTGTTCATTTTGGGTGACCCTGCTGGCACTTGAAATACTAATGACATAGGTTCCAGCACCACAGCAACATATAAGTCACAACAGTACGATAAACTGATAGACAATTGATGGATGGTAGATGTAGCTACCATAGGCTTAAATGTAACACCTTATCATTTGCTCTCCCTTTTGACCCATTTTAAAGTTGTTTCTTTTTTTTTTAAGCAGTGGGAACATTGGGAGGGCAAATACACATGGATTGAGCCTCCAGTGAGCTCCCTCTGGCCACGGACCAAGGATGTGAATAACTTTGCTTTCATGCAATGGAAAGTTACTTGTGGCAGTTAGTTAGGCTAAAACCTAATATCTTATTATTTTATATCCCCTATGACCTATTTTAAATTTATTCTTGTTTTTTATATTTCCTGCTTTATTTTCAATAGGGGGTTTTCTCTAGTTTATTTTGTTATTGTTGTTGGTGTTTTTGCTAGTTGGGCTTTTTGGGGTTTTTCTGTATGTTTCCCAGTATATGACATCCCAGATATTAGATCTATAGAGATAATAACTGAACTAATGGCTTTTTTGGTATTGGGGGTGGGGGAGGTGGAAAGGGGAGCTGACAGCAGTGGTTGTTCTCATATGAGTGATGTCTTTGTCTTGTCCTAAAATTTAATAAGTATTCTCCTTAAATTATATTTTTAATCTGCCTTGAGCATTACACGCTTTTAAGAATTATTTATAAGAACTCAAACTGACAACATCAACTAGAAAGATTATATAGCAAACTTAGAGGGGAGTGGATTTATGTTAATGTGGGAGAAATAGCTCAGAAAAGGAGAGGAGAGTGGTTGCATAATTCAAAGAATGTACTCAATGTCATTAAATAGTACATGCAGAAACGGTTAAGGTGGTACATGCTTATATGTGTATATTACCAACAACAGAAAAGTTAATAAAATTTAGTTTAAAAATACTAACATGAACATTGTGTTCTTATGTTTCTCAAGGAAAGATTCATCGGTAATGGAACAACAAAAGGATTAAAATCTAAAAATTATTTTTAAATTCTAAATTCTCAGAAAAACATCTAGCAAAATATCCAATAGATAGCAAAACTATTGTCCAAGTTCAGTCAGTCTACATTTACATAGCTTACTCATTTTTAGTGATAGCCTAAAAATAGAGCAGAAGAGTATACAAATGAATAATTAACATGAGAAGTTAAAAACAGCATGAATACAATATAATATAGTATACAAACCAACATAATACAATACGCAAACAAAGTATCACCACTTTTCAGAATTTTCTATTCCACCCATTCAAACTTCATGATATTTCAGATAGGATTCAACAAGTGTGAGGGAAGTGAGATTGTCAGGGCTTCCTATTATACACTTTCAGCTCAAAACTCAGACAACCCAAATTAGATGCAAGCTGTAATTAGGATACAAAGTTAATTATAATTATCCTGGCATTCACCCATAAAAATATTTGCCAAACTATTTTTGAAATTGAAAACAGACAGGGTCTATAAGCAGCTCTAGGACTCATATTGGCATGCAAGTTTCATTCAAGTTAAATTTGCATTTATTCCTTAATCATAGAGCTGATCTAATGCTCAAACAAGAGGAAACAAATTAATTCTGAGCTCCTGCGGAAAGACTTTAGTGGGTCTTCTCTTATTTCTTGCATATAATAAAGCTGCAATCAATAAGATAAAATAAGAACAAGATCAAGTTTGTGTGACTGGGACAATTCAACCAGTTAAAATACATTTCTGCATATGAAGAATAGAAAGACAATACACGTAGATTCTACTGTGTCGTTTACCTTCCATAGTAAAAGCCAGTGATTCTAGATTTCTCCTCACAGTGAAGGAATTGATAGCACGCCAGATGCAAGCATTTCAGGTGCCAACAGGTAATGATCATATTGAGAAGGAATAACTGAGATCTACACAAAGCTTTTCAAAAACAGACATCTTATTAAATACACATATTAGCAAAAAATAAACTATAGCATTAAGCCTTATGCTTGAACACAATTGCCCGGGTAATATGTTCTGGAATTAGACTATTAAATCCTCCTGTTCTGAAATGTTGTCTACAACCACATGAAAAACTTTATCCTGGACTTCTATTACTTGCAATGAATTCCAACATGGTCCTCTATTAAAATATCATTATCAATGATGAGACTAAATTAACTTATGTGATCCCTTAGGGAGATGGAAACAAATTTGATGGAGAGAGTGTGGCTATGGAGTAGATAAAGGAAATCAAAATGACATCACAGTGCAATCTTGTCAGAAGTAATGCAATACATCTGAAAGAACATTCAGCAAGGATCCAGAATCGGGTTTTGAATCCATGTAACATGTAATCTACATATCAGGTTTCACAGTTGAAAAATAAAAAGAATGAATCATATGATCGCTAACTAGTTACAAAATGCAGTAAATTTTGTGAACAGGTCATGGGTCAACCACAAAGGGCTAAAAAGTGAGGAAGCAAAATGTTACTGCTGGTGACCATGAAACGAGGAGCACCGTTACAGAAACGGTCTCTACAATTGTAATTACATCAAAGAGGAGTCGTGTGTGTTTAAATCGGTTCTACAAGTGAATGCCTCAGATATAAACGGAGTATAAACAGAAACAGAGAGTGGACAATTCTAGATTCCTATTTGGTGACGATTCCCTCAAATTTTGATTTTTTATTTATTTATTTATTAAGAACATTTTATTGGGAGTTCTTGCAACTCTTGTTACAATCCATACATTAATTGTATCAGACATATTAATACATAAATTGCCATCGTTCTTTTCTAGACATTTACTTTCTTTTTTTTTAATCGCTTTATTAGGGGCTTGCCCAAAGAAATCATGTTATTAAAACTAAAAGGGTGATTTGCAGTACTGAAAGGTTTCCTGGCAAATGCTGATTCCTATGTTGTCTGTCGAGAGCACCATCATGGAAGTGACTAAAATCAAATTAACTCCTCTCCTCCACGAGTATTCAGTTGATACCTATGTGCATCTACCAGATGCTGGAAATGATGTATTGTTGGAAAGGCACCTCTATTGCTAACCTTCCACCATTCATCATAATTAGTAACCTGAAGGGTCAATCAGGGTGTGAAAGACCCTCTGTGAGATACACTAGCACAGGAGCTACAAGAATGGATACAGATATTTAGTGAGATAAAGATGGCTCAGGACCAGGTAATGTTTCGATCTGCTGTGTATCAGGTCTCCATGAATTAAAGACAACTTCATGGCAACTAACAGCTATAAACTTACATCTTTAAGCTTACAATATAGTAAAGAATATATGACAAAGAAAAACAGAAGTGATTACAGAAAGTGTGTTATAGTCCAACTGGCTAAACTAAGATTAAGAGTTTGAAAGGATCAAATTTGTTTTATTTTTCAGGGATCACAGTTACTTGACATATTCATTCATACTCATGAAAGTCATGATTTCTAAGGACCCTTTTAGACTCTTCATTAAAAAGCTCCTGAACCATCTTCTTTGTTTCAAAGTGATGATGCATCACACAAATATTCATTTTACTCCAAGTTATGAAAATATTATTGTTAACTCAGGTAGGTAACATTTGGTTTATAACTGGCCTGACAAACAAAAAATGCCTTATGAAATGGCTACAGTCAATGTCTCTTTGGGGAGAAAATAAATAAACCATCATGTGAGTCAAAAAAATCACTCACTTTCAACATGTTCTTGTGAGCCAGATAAGTATTTTGTTACCAATCTTCTCTTGGTGAAGAAATACGCAAAACATGAAAGTAAAGACAACAACAAAACTTTGCTCTAGGCAGTCAAATATATAGTACAGAATACCCTGAAGGGTTTTTAACATAAATCTTTTCCCTAACTGGTTATTAAAAAACTATAGATTGCATTAGCACAGCCTTGTAGTGGATTCTTACCTGATAAGGAACAATACTCCCATGAGCTGTGCCCCAGCGTTGTGCTTCTTTTTGGCTAATAAGATAATTAGCAGCTACCTGGCTCAAACATGCCACCTACCAGAAAAAACAAATAGAAAAAGAAAATCCTGGTTACTTGAATGTTATAGTCTGAAA